TGAAACTTCATCAAAATAGGAGTAGCGCGAGCCAAGAATCTAACGAAGGAAAGGAAGACGTACGATGGCGCTCTCTATCACTGACAACGCCAAGAAGCTATGGGATGCATGGAATATTAGAGGACTCATTATTCTGAGCCTCTCCCTGCAGGCCTCCTTGATTCTGTTCGCACCCCTGAGAAAAGGAAGATTTGCGAGGAAATTTTACTTCCGTTGGCCGATTTGGTTGGCGTACTTGTCCGCGGACTGGGTTGCGACCTATACAATCGGACTCATCTTCACCAGCGACAGTCACAGTACTTGTACTTCGACATCGCCCAGTCCTCCTAAGGACATCCTGGTATTTTGGGCATCTTTTCTCTTGTTGCATCTTGGCGGCCCAGACAACATTACCTCTTATGCCCTAGAGGATAATGAGTTTTGGAAAAGGCACTTGTTTGTGCTTCTGTTGCAGGTTGGTTTTACTCTATACGCCTTCCTGAAGTCCTTCTCAAAGAACGAGCTTTGGCTCCCAACAATCCTAGTGTTATTTGCAGGCATAATGAAATATGCAGAGCGGAACGTTGCACTTTTTTGTGCAAGCTTTCACCATTTTGGAAAGGATTGGGTATCTCCCCATGTCAAAAGGGGAGCTGATAAAGGAAAAGGCGAAACGGAAACTGGACTTCCCATTCCAGTCCAGTTCCATGACACGGAGGACCATACATCATTATTGGGAACTACAGTTCAACTATTTGGCAATGTAAAGAGTGCACTTGTAGGCCCTCTTCTAAAGATAAAAGAACAAATGCGAATTAGAGAAACACTTCTCAGCATCGGAAGAAGTCAGAAGGTGCTCCAAGTACTTGAGATTGAGCTAAGCCTCTTGTATGAGGTTCTTCACACCAAGTTGCCCGTCATCGACGGTAAGAGTGGATTTAATCTCCGTATTGCTAATTTCGGTTGCATCTTGCTAGCCATAATTACATTCTCTTTGGCTAAGTGGCACTACCAGTTGCGGCAATTTGACATGTTGCTGACATATGGGTTGCTAATTGCGGCTTTGGCGTTGGATTCCTTATCTATCATGTTACTCGTTAAATACTCTGATTGGTATGCCATTGCTCATTTCAAGGATACAGTAAAGAAGGATGCTGCATCCAAGGTTATCGAAAGGCAGCACAGGTGGTGTAACGAAGTTTCTCAGCTAAATTGTTTAACTTACCACGTCAAGGGTATGCCAGTTTGGTTGAACAAACTGGCTGATATTCTTCACTTGAGGAGTTCGCTGAAGGTCCTTAAAGGATTCCGTTGTCAGTCCACTCGGAATTTCGAAAACCCACTCTGGCAGTTCATCTATTACGAAGTGAGAGATTTTCCAGAGGATACACGGATCAATGAAGTTTGGTTGGAAAGAGGTAAAGTACTTCTGAAGGATGTCATGAATGGGAAGCAGAAGAAAATGCTTGATGAGTTAGATTACACCCAAAGCCTTCTAGTGTGGCATATAGCTACTGAATTATGTTACCAAAAGGATAACAAGTACGAGCCCAAGTCTAAGAAGAGGACAAATTATAGACCAATTTGCAAGCTTCTTTCGGATTATATGTTTTACCTTGCAGTGAAGCAGCCCACCATAATGGATTCCGTGTTGGACAAAAATTGGAGCACCATGTTTAAGAAGATATCAAAAATGATTCAGTCAGAAGTGCCCTGGAGTTTCTTCTTAAATGAAAAGAATGTCAGCAGAAAAATCCTTGACATGAAGGTAGAAGAAAACGGTACTGATTCTGTTGAAGAAGTTGAAAAAGATAATGAAGATGATGGTGATAATGCTGAAAATTCCTTGCCATCCCATGGTGAAGTTGAAATTTCCTTGTCTTCTGCAGTTCTGCTTGTACGCGGGCTCGAGCAGCAAGACAACCATTACCCGTGGAAGGTAATGAGCAAAATTTGGGTAGAATTAATGTGCTATGCTGCCATTAATTGCAGGCCTAATGTCCACGCACAAGAAGTAAGTCAGGGTGGAGAACTTCTCACTTTGGTTTGGTTGTTGATGAATCATATGGGTCTTGGAACTAAAAACTACACTACATTGAAACAATCGAGCCGATCACCTGCAGGCCATCCAGAATCAGCGTCAGAGGACGAGGGTCAACCGTAACCCATCAAGGATGGTTCGTGTAATTTGGCTGTCATCTTTCATTTTGGTACTCTGGAATAAAATAGGTTCTTTATTTTATTGTAGGAATGTGT